CAAAAACCAGTTAGGATCATTGCAGATTTTTTTTGTTTTTTTATTCTGCAAAAGTTTTCATTTTGTTAATAAAGCCATGATTTTGAGTTTAAAAGTGAAAATTAGGCCAGGCGCAGTGGCTCGCACCTGTAATCCTAGCACTTTGGGAGACCAAGGCAGGAGAATCGCTTGAGCCCAGGAGTTCGAGACCAGCTTGGGCAACGTGGCAAGACCCGGTATCTACAAAAAATACCAAAATTAGCCAGGCATGGTCGTGTGTGTTTGTAGTCTCGGCTGCTTGGGAGGCTGAGGTGGGAGGATCACTTGAGCCTGGGGAGTTTGAGGCTGCAGTGAGCTGTGATTGTGTCACTGAACTCCAGGCTGGGCAAAAGAGCAAGAACTCTGTCTCGACAAAAAAACACCAAAAAAAAAAAAAAACAGTGAAAATTGTATTTTTTCTCACTTCTTGGCACCTTCAGCTTAATCAAAAGATGAGAAGAAGCTTGACTCTTCTGAATTAATCGCGAAATGTGACAGTTCCACGGTGTAGAGACTGCCGGGCTGGGCAGGTGTGGGGCTGTGCAGAGGCACACTAGTGTTTAAATTTGTTCTGTTTACATCTGGCTGACAGCCTGGGCCAGAGCTACAACATTCCTGCTCACACAGGTCAAAAGTGGACTGCATTACAGTCTCATTGCGATTTCTGCAGCCCTGAGGGCAGGCTGGAATATCCACCAGGGATGTTAACGAGACACTAGGAGGTGCTTTGTTCCTGGGGCTGGACTTTCTACTGGAGTTAATATTCTACAGAAACTCTGGGAAAATGAGCGGAATACAAATTCCACATCCAAATTCAAGTTAATTTGTGACTTCCTATTCTCTTCTTAACAATTATCGGCAGGCAAGCATTAGAGCTGCCAAATCTTTATCCACTTGTGATGGGAAAAAACCAACAAAGCGTCTCTCTTTGAACATTGCTTGATTTTTATTGCTTTTGACTTTTCTAGTCATAACAAGACCATTTCTCAAACGTTTATGAACTTGATCAAAAGATTTTTACTGACTTACAGATGTGCTTTTCTCTTAGATTGAAGTGAGATGGATAAACCGGTTTGTACTACTCCATTGTTTCAATTCTCCCAGCATGAAGGCCTGAACAAATATGAAAATTGCCAGTTTTTTTTTTTAAGATGAAGTCTTTCTCTGGTTGCCTCCCTCAGGCGGAGTTTCAGTGGTGCTATCTCGGCTCCCACCGCAGCTCTGGCCTCCCAGGTCACGCCATTCTCCTGCCTCTCAGGCCCCTGAGTAAGGGGCCTGGGACTACAAGGCCGCCACACCAACCCGGCTAATTTTTTGTATTTATAGTAGAGATGGGGATTCACCGGTGTTAGCCAGGATGGTTTCTCGATCCTCTTGACCTCATGTTGATCCACCTGCCTTGGCCTCTGCCAAAGTGCTCGGATAGAGGTGTGAGACCAACCGCACCTGGCTGAAAATGGCATTTTGAACATTCCCTTAATTTCTTACAAGATTAACTATCTGAAACATGAAAAGCTGCAAGTATCTACATCATCTGTACATCATAAATATTTTGTTACCTTTCAG